TCAATCAGCAAAGAATTAGCTTTGTCTGCTTAGGAACTCCTTACTTTTCCCAGCACCGTTCTTGGTCGTCCTTAGGCCCAAAGACGTCCGATTGTGTTATGCGTAATGTTTTGTTAGATAGAAAACTGCATCCATTTGGCCCATTGTGGATCCCTTAAGAGCCTGTAGGTCTCCTCGGCTTGGCTCAGGAGGGCATAACTCCGTGCCTTCCCCTCCCCGTGTGTGCCCGCTACCAGCCCGACCAGCTTAATAGATGGGGCTCGCCAAGAACGTAGGGCCATCTACTCAAATAAGAAGTAACCAAAACACAGCGTGGAGAGCCTCGGAATAATCGAGGATGCCCGAGCAGGTAACAGATGGAGGCCCCTGACAGGAGCGTGGGGCCACTTCCCGAGCAGGCTATTAAATAGGGCCCTCGTCAATAGCGTAGGGCCTCCATGCAAAAAGGAAGTCCCCAAGACGCAATGTAGAGGGGCCCCGAATGATCGAGTGTGTCCAAGCAGGTTAACAGATAGGGCTCCTAACAAGATCATAGGACCCTCCATTCAAATATGAAGCACTCAAGACCTGATGTAAATAAGAGCTTAAGGCCCTTTATTTAAATGGGAAGTACCCAAAACCCTGTGCAGAGGGCCCCCGAAAGGTGGATTGTACCCGAGCAGGTTATCAGACGGCTCCGACAGGAGTTGAGGGCCTTAAATTCAAGGGATCCATTCAAATAGGAAGTCCTCAAGATACAGCGTGGAGGGCGTCCGAACAATCGAGTGTGCCCGAGCAGGTTAACAGATGGGGCCGCCGACAAAAGCGTAGTGTCTTCCGTCTAAATATGAAATACCTACGACACGATGTAGAGGGCCCCCGAATAATTGAGCGCGCCAGATCATGTTCACAGATGGGGCCCCCGTCAAGAGCGCAGGGCCCTCCATTCAAATAGAAAGCACCCAAGACCCGACATAGAGATCGCCCAACAACTGAATGTGCCGGAGCAGCTTATCGGAAGGGGCCACGACAAGAACGTAAGGCTCTACATTCAAGTAGGAAGTACCCAAAACCCAGTGCAGAGGGCCCCCGAAAGATGTAGTGTACCTGATGAGATTATCAGATGGCCCCGGCAGGATCGCAGGGTCCTAAATTAAAACACCAAGAGCCAATGTGCAGGGCCCCCGAATAATCCAGTATGACCAAACAGTGAGGCGAACAGAGAAGGAGGGGGGGGGGGGGGGCGACTAGTGCTAGGCCCCCCGTCCAAATGTCGTCACTTCACGTGCCTGTCGCCTGAAACCAGAAAGGCTCAGCTTGAGCGGGACGCCAACGAGAGCGCACATGTCCTGTGGAGAGTGAGTCATCTGTCATCAGCTGGCGTGATCACCCCGCGGCGTGCACCAAGCGCGTAAACGTGATCGGGGCCAGGGTCACCGTTTCACAAAATACCTTGGGGAGGCAGGGCTTGGTGGGTGCGGTGGGGGGGGGGGGGGGAGGGGAAGTATTAACAGTGAAAATGGTCAGACCTGCCTCAAAATGCGCATGAAAACGGATTTCCCCAGAATGTAATCAATTTTCTTCTAAGAACTAGAGGCTGGAGACTCATTCTGCAATACAATAAAGGTTTACACCCCTCGCCCGGCCACGTTTCCACAACGCCGCTGGAGTTTAAGTGTTAATGGATTACTGGTGTGTAGGAATTACAGCCGTCATAGTTTTCACGGCTCACATGATGACACGTTGGATCGGCTCGGCGCGAAACATTGCGCTCGGCGCTGTCACGAAATGTCCAGGACACGTTCGGTGCTGTCACGAAATGTCCAGGACACGTTCGGTGCTGTTACGACATGCTCAAGATTGCGCTAGGCTGCGTTTGCTCTTGGATGAGACAAGGGTGCCACGGGGCTGCTCATAGATCAAGACGACCCAGGCAGTGAGTTTCTAGAGATGTGGGTTCATCTACCCGAAGTGGTAGCCGGCCGATACGGCAGCGCGCGAGAAAAACATGTTTTCGCAGCTCCGAGTCTGCCAGAGAGCCAGTCGATACGACTCTGGGGTCTTGGTCGGTAAACGCCGACAACAAACAGCGCGGCAGAACTGGCGACCAGCGTGGCAACCGGGGCAGAGTTCGCTGCCTGGAACAAGCTTTGGAGTGCCTGGATTTCAATTACATTGTTGCGACGGCGCGGAGCCTCGGCCGCCTAGCGCCTCCGCCGTCTAGGTCATGGTGGTAGGTGAAGCCGGCAGACAGTCAAGGCACAGGCTAGTCCTTATTCCCCATGAAGACGGCGGTAACTGAGGACATATTTTAATATGGAAGACGAGGTCTAAATTTGGCGCGTGGTCAAGCGAAATAAAGGCGACGTTTGTGCTTGCCTCCTCCAGGAAAGCAGGTGGCTTCGAAATTTTCACGGGTTGCTGATTAAGGTCATGTTCTTGAAAAGAGAGATAATGTGCAAAAGCGCACCGCACCTGCCCAAATGCTCGCATGTTAAGTCATCATCTTATGGATGGGTTCCCGACATCGTATAGTTGGCATGGTATTCGGATATATGCATATTCGATTAACCAATATAGTGCCGACTGCTTGACATCCTTGAAACTGTATGATGCACACCTAGGACCTGTTCACATGCTGGCATTACGGTAGAGTTGCATGCAAAAAAGCAGTTGTATTGGCAGTTATCGGCTATCGCAAATTCAAGTACATATAAGACTGCCTGAACATAAAGACACATTTTTCAGGATGCGTTGTAAAAGCCACCATTTCGGACCGTAATCATGCAGTATCCGTTTTCTCTCAATGCCACCGGTGTCAGTCACCCACCAGTGTGGACCTTTTGATTTCGCTTAAATTCTAGTACGACGTATATCGGGGGCTGCTTACATGCTGGTGGTCATAGAGTCGCGCATAAAATACATTGGTAGCTGTCGGTTACCGAAAATACCAATTGCAAGACAGCTATGTGTTTTGGGGCCATCCATTCAACCCTCTTTCTGGGCTTTTCATCAGACTTTTCTCTCCGAAGTGTACGCTTTATGGCAAGTGATGCCTCTTAATCATCGCGAACGAATGTTCCACGGAATCGCAGGTCCGCTGCCGCTCAGTGCCAGTTTCCATGTCACTGGGCGGTGCGGTAGTTAAGACAGTGCGCCTGCTCCAGTGCAGCTACAGTAATGCTGCAGCGAACAGGTTGGCTGCTGTTGATATCACTGTTGCAACTTTGAAGATCATAGGTACATATTTCGTTCACACGGCGATGTTGGAAGGGAAACATGGTATGCATTGACGCGGTTTTGGTTTAAACGAATAATTGTTTTGGCAATGTAGCATCAAGGGGTTTTGGCTGGTGGATAACCAACAGCTGCCGAAGTCTCATGTGTACGACTCATTGATATGAACAGGATGCGACGAGACCAGGACGAATGTGCGTTACGCATCACTGACAAATGCTGAGGAAAATATAACAAGCGATTTGAAAAGATACTGGCAAAAACTGCAGTAATGTACACAATTAACAAATGAAATTGGGACATTCGCCAACGACCTTGGAAGGGCAAAAACCATCCCCACAGATCTTTTTTAAGAAGGGGATTTGCCCATTTTGCTCTCCCCTGGATTCGTCCTGGCTGTACACCACTAACGACGCCAAGCGCAAGCATTGATAGCCTCCATCTGCACCCAGTTTTGGTTAAGCTGTTGTATGGACCATATCTAAAAACAGCGCTTTGACAGAGTAGATCAGGGTGCCGCTGTAGTCGGTTTTGAAATTCGACCTTTGCGGCCCAAGATTGTTTTCTCCCGATCGAATAGCATAGGTCTCAGGTGATGAGCGTTTCGCATCAGAAGCTGTACCGGGTCGCTGCATCGTCCCTCGTGCCGCGCTGTTGCAGGGATCGCTGGCCGGCCATGCAACTAACCCTACGTGGGCCTCCACCTCGCTGCAGAGCTCGTGCTGCCGCCGCCATGAGCAAGCATGGCCCGACATGCCAAGCCATTCGCGTGAAATGACGTCACGCTACATTCCTGGCTGTGGTGGCACATTCCACGCCGACCGGCGCCACGCCGCCATGGGGCCGTGTTTGGGCTGGACGGCGCGGTGGTGGCGTGCTCCCCGCGTGGCGCCACCCCGGTATGAGGGTAGGGCGTCCGTGTGCAGATGAAGGCAAGCTGGGGTGATCGGATGCCTGTGGCAAAGGTGGCCGTGAATACCTGCTGAGCCCAGGAATGCAAACCGGTACTGCTGGCGTGCTGTCGGAAGACAGAAGCGTCGTCAGAGTTTGGCGCCAGGGAGGGTTAGCCAATGCTCACGAGCAAGAGGTTGAGCTGTTGCTCGTCGGGGCAAAATCACTTATTCGGAACGCCAGAGTTAAACAGTGGGGTTGTCGCTGACACTGCGGAAAACGGGAAGTACGCCGCCCAGGGTGGCCATGGCCCCTGCACCATGGGTGACGTCCCTGCCAGAAACATGCCGTTGGGATGGAAAAACCAGCCAGTCTCCATGAAGGCCGTCGCACGAGTCGAGGAATGCAAGTGAGAACGAGAAATAACATGTCAGTGACACCTGTTCACGCGTACTTCACCATCACAAAAGACATGACTGGTTCCCAGTAATCAATCGTGACCTCATCCTGCAGTCGCAATATCAAGATAATCAGCCTCGGAACAACACAGTTGGTACTTCAGGTTGCGGGCAGCCCATGAGCTACGACAGCCGGTAAGCCCTCGGGCCCGTTTCATAGCGGCGGAACTCCCAGTAGTTCGTGAGTTACGCGCGGTTGCAGTCCATCCGCCAACAATTTACATGTAGCGGCAGCACATCTCCCCAATTTATGTGTCGCTGGCTGGTCTCCCGAACTTCACATGTGGCGGTCGCCGATCCCCCGACATTTTGCATGAGATGACGGCCGACCTCCCCGCACTACATGTGTGGTGGCAGCCGATCTGCTGACGGTTTTCATATACATAACCCGACCGGCCCTTCGCCTGTCGCGTTCACTCGCCTCCAAACAACATAGACAACACCATTGATTGAGTGTATTTCGACTATTAAGGGCAATTAATACAAAAATAAACTGAACCAATCGGATCGCCGTGTGTCAGTTCGACTACTGTGAGCGAAGCGAATGCAGCCAGGCGCGACCACCAGGCTCAATAAATAATGGGCGCGCACGCACCCTGCACAAGTCGAGACGGCCATCTGGTCCACGCCTGAGTGGCACACAGCGCCGGCTTGAATAGGCTCTGGGTCTATTTCCAGCGGAGGGGCGCACAGTCTGTGCTATGCGCGGCACCACTGACGCAAGGGGCGCTTGGGCGCGGTACACACAGCAACGCTATGGCAGAATGCGAAAAGGCTGGACACTGACGAGGTCGCGTTACGAGATTGCCAGCGCGACGGTGGCGGGGCGTAGTGCTAGCGGCAGCCGGGCTCCATGGAAGACAGCCGCGGCGGGCGGAGGGGAGCCCGCCTCGCCGGCCTCCTGACTAGACTACCGCACTACGCGCTACAGCCGGCCGCGCCGCCGAGCCGCGCCCCGGCCGCCACCGCGGCCGACAGGCCCGAGGTCACAGCGTGACCTCGGACCACCCTCTGCCGCCGAGCATGTCGCCCACGCGCGCCACGAGCCACCTTCTCGCCCGCGCTTTGTACAATGAAGTCGCACAGATAAAACCACCGTGCCAGTGCGGCCCGCCTCGGGCGCCGGGCACGCCGGCCGCCCGCTTGGTCCTCCAGCATTGTTGTGTGTGGGGATGTGCGCTGCTGGTGCTTCAGCGTGACGAAATGAGCGACGCCGTAGCGGCGATGCCCAGCCCGACGCCCAGCTTGACGAGCGCGCTCCACACTTTGCTTTCCATGTCCTCCGGGTAGCGGAAATGTTCACACAGCACCACCTGACAGCAGAGACAGGAGAGTCACACCACCGACCAGAACCGCTGGGACAGGGTACGCTGCGACCACAGCACGATGAACACAGGCGAGTACGTGCGACGAGGAATGTCTAAACACGGTTCAAAAAGTTTCATGGCCCCATCGCTGGCGCGGCACCTGCAAATTATTGCGCCTGCTGACTCACCGCACTGAGAGTAGTCTGCAAAAGCGAGCACGTGAACATCGCTTGCATCTGCGCACATGCCAGCCAAACAGTTGAAATACAAGTGCGCTTGGCCCGTGGGCTGAATGATTCAACGGCCCGTGTTCGTTACGGTCCGTACTTCCCGCACAGCGTCATGCACGGCGGACAGCACCGGAACAGGACCTGACGAGTGCAAAGTTCAGTAACCGATGTTAACAGGGTGGCTGCCCGCAGCCAGCTGGGGTCTCGTTTTTAACTACCACAATGCTGTTTCGATGCAACCATTGTACTGCTCTGAGCTCTGGCTGATAGGTAGCGTTGTGTATTGCGCGTACATAGCAAAGAAAGCCAGGAGCAAAGAAAAAAGCTTGCTGCACGTAACTCTATCAGAGTCCAGGCTATGTGTTCACGACAGGTTTTCATTGTTCAGAGTCTATAGTTATACGCGATAACGAACATTGTGTCCATCGTTTTAGTTTTGGAGGGCAATAAGCTTAGCTCGCCTAATAGTGCTGCTCTTAGGAATGAGGCATCAATAAAACGACCACACATGAACTGAAAATCGTGCTTCCAAACTAGGCACTTCAATTTCCAATAGATGAGATACTAAACCGATTACAACCGAACATGATATGGTTATTGGCCTCCAAGACAACATATAATTTGTTTTGCGAAGCCGTAACATATTCTCGATGTCCGCTATCAAATCCGATGACATCCAGTCCCAATTGCATACTTGTGTCGTGAGGTGGAGAACTACTCTGAAGAGTGTTCACCTGCCTACGGCCATGCGATGTCTCATCATGCTATAATTCGACGCAACGTTATGGTACGCCACAGTGACATCGTACTTCCAGGCTCTCAGAACTTAGGCAACACGTACTGCCTTTCCGTGGAACACATATCTCTCATACACAACAAAGTTATCGTAATAAATAAAAACATGAGTCCAAACGCGCGCACGACTGACTGTAGCGCATAGATACCACGACAAAACAACACAACCCCACCCGAATATGGTAGAAATCAGCGTCTGCATGCTAGCAAATACAAATAATGTTATAAGGTAGTCTACAATTACAAAAGCACCAGGTCAGAAATCAGCAAATTCAAGCAAACCAGCTAATACTGGACTACTGGAGTCTTCCAGTGACTCCTCTGCTGACACTACTTACCCAGCCGCCCTCCTGTCGCACGAAGCCAGTCAGGTGCTCAGAAGCGTACAGGCTCATGAAGCGCGCGATCTCGGCCACAAAGTCCTCCATCTGCTTCTCCTGGCAATAGAGCGCCAGGCGCGCGCCAAACGCGTAGAATGTGACGATGCGAGCCCAGGTGACGTGGCCGCGTTCGAACAGCTCGTCGGCCACGCCCACGAACGTCTGGTAGCCGGTCTCCTCGCGGATCTGCAGCCGGCCTACCATGCCGCTGAACAGGAGACGGTGCTTCACCAAGATCTCATCGACGCAGCGGCGCAGCGTCTGGCAGACGCGGTCGGTCGTCGGCTGCCGGTGCTTGCCGATGGCATAGTAGACGGTGTCGAGCGCCAGCTTCTCGGCCTCGGCCTGCACCGGATCGCGGTGCGTCTGCGTCGCCTTGTCTGTACAGCGGTGGTGCACCAGCGCGCCCAGCAGCGGCACGCGCGACAGCAGGCAGCCGGCGGCGAGCGCGTGGCCGCCGCAGGCCGGCGCCGGCGCCTCGCCCTCGGGCTCAGCCGTTTCCCGGTCGGCCATGGCCGGCGGCGAGGGCGGCGCGCCGTTGGCCTTGCGGCCGGCCGGCGCCGGCTCCGTCTGCGTGTCGCTGTCGGTGCGCGGTCGCGGCTCGGCCGAGCAGGACGCGATGGGCGCGGGCGGCATCCGGCTGCCGACAGAGGAGCGCCGACACCGTTACGGCTGCACCGCGGACTGGCCCCGACGGTGCGGCGCGCGCACGCAGCCGAGTCCTTCGCGGCTGCGCCTGACATGGTACACCAATGGACAACTTCCATGCAGGTGTACAAGCAATTACATGTTTGATGTGTGCACATATTTCTCAAGGGAAGCACCTCTAAACTGATCAGCAGTTTTTTTTTAAACAGAGGTGAAGATACATACCATTTCATATCAACAATGAGCTTGGTTGCAGCTAGCTGACTAGCCCTGATGGCTGATGGCTATAGTATTGTCATGTTGTTAATGGGTATTTTTGCATTTGCACACTACAGTTCCACACTCAACCATATTCTTGTTTTGCACTTTCATCTCTCCCAGTTATGGGGGCATGGCTTCCTGTTCAGTTGGAGAGGTGTCATCAAACTTTACATGACATATTACATGACATATTGTGGGGCGGGTCTTTTTGTTTATGCACAACTACATCCTGCTGAGCCTCAATTCTGGTTTGCCCAATGGCTCAAAGAAACATGGCATTTGACCATAACCACTACATCACTTCACTAGCTGAATCAACTTTAAGCCAAATGAAACCAACCAAACTGCACTTTATCCCAAAATCCTATGACCAAGGCAGATTTGTGAAGATCTTGATTAATTTCCAGGTTACATTGGTCACATCTTCTTACCATGTGAAATTAGCAAATCTTGGAAAGATGGCTATCAGAAATACCTGAAGCCTTTTCTATAAAACACAAAAGGATGCTCTATTCTCAAACACCTACTTCATTCAAACAATCTCAACACTTTAGGCATTGCACCAATAGACTTGAAGACTTAACAGAAAAATAGTTTGTATGTGGTAAGAAGTGGAGTGGACTTGACACACCAAATCAACAAAACAAAGTCACCCACAGCAGCTCTGTTCCCAACCTCCAAAAGGCAGGCTAGACAGATCAGTTCTGCCACCTTTGGCTGGCTAAGTAGCTGGAAGGTCCAGCTGGCAAAATCAGAATCAATACAAAAATGGCAACTTATTGAGCTTTTCTACAACATGATGCATAGATCCTTTCATCTTACTATCCAGTTATCTCTCAGCTAAAATGACCAAGTACTAGTGTGATAACTTCCTCTCCTTCCTTTTTTTCCTTTTCTACCTAACTAACTTGACATTAACATTTCCCATTCCCCTACCATTCCCCTTGTACCCATGTCATTCCATCTAATTTAGGTTTGTCTTTTAGGCATGGGGCAGGTCCAGACTTTGGGTTTTGAAGTAAATTCCAAAACCAATGGCTTTAAGCTTCATACATACCAAGCCTAAACTGAATCCAGTGCCTTCTGATTTAGAAAACACAAAGCCAAGCCAAATCTATGTGCTTATAATGTGAGAATGAAGATTAATGCACATCTACCACAAAACATTCTTTTGCAAAAGCAAAACTGATTTTTGTGTCTGATAAGACTGCATGAGACCAGAAATTAATGGCAGGGTTTCACAAAGTCATTGAGTAAAGTGTTGGCAAAATGGATGAAATTTGCCGACTTTTATCCTTGCCTTGAGTGCTGGCATGTTCACGATGTTGCGGAAGGCATTACCTCACAGATCCAGTCACAAAACTGTTTAAAAACATTCACAAAGTAACAAGAATAAATGCAGTGTGTATTTTTACAGGAATCATGCATGAATCTTGGAACCATGTCATTAATAATGCTGTAGGTTCTATTTGCTGCTCTTTGTGTTAACTGTTGTTTCCTTCCCTTCAGTGCCACCCTTGGAGGCTTAACAAAAATGCTCTGCAATGAGGATACAGGCTAGCTTCCACTACACCTGAAACAAAAATGCATCTCTGTAACCCTGAGCATACAGCAAATATTTCATATTTGTTATATATGCCAGCCACAAAAAGCGAGCCATCTAAAATAACCGTAAACTTTAGTAAAACATGTTGATTGATATCTTAGATTGGCCACAGGAAAATTTAAATAAAACTAGGTGGAAACAATTATTACTCACAAAATTAGTCCCTTCTTTGACAGTGGTCTGCAAAAATGACTATGGTCATCTGAACCAGATACATTTGGCTTATCTGTACATGCACACTGCTTAAGTTCCAACCAGGTTGCATTCCTACTTCAAACACATTGCACCTGCATTTGCTGTAAAACACACTAGTAACCCAGATATGTCCTTATCTAAAAACATAAGCCTGGCTCTAGAAGCAGGAAGAGCTTAAGAACAAGTTTGAAATCAAACCTGAGATACAGCAAGAACCAAGATCTGGTCATGTTGTAGAAGATGCAGTTCATTCAGGTGAAACATGTGTTTGATCATAGCTCAACAAAAATGCCAATTTGTTTCTAGCATCTATAATCTGCCTAGGTAACAAGCATTGAATCAGGTTCCAAAAAGGACCAATGGTTTGTGGCAATGACCAGCCCCAAGTCATTTACCACTAGATCAGCCACCACATGTGACAACACATTAACACAGCGGTGGCAGTGATGCTCTCGCTTATCAAGCAAATCATAGCATACATAATCAGGCAATTGCGCACATTCTTTTGTTTGGCGTTCAATGCAAGCAGGCCAGCCAGTCCCACACCCACGCGCAGCTTTCGTCTAGGCATTAACACGAAGATGGTCAACTGCAATCAGCAACCTGACCTACCAAAGTCTGATGATGGGTATCAGGAAAAGCTAGTTGTATCTTGCATAAGTGTCGGGCTCAAAAGCAACCACCAATATGACTTCTAGTCCGGGTCTTACGGAACCCCGCTTCCACCACCCAATTCCGGAACGTCCCTGCCCCGCGTGACACAACGGAGAACGATCGGTTGGGAAGGTGAGCCCGAATGAAAGGGGATTTCCATCACTAGATCTAATTTCCAAAATATATTTGAACTTAAAAATATATCTTACATTAAAATAAAAGTTTTGTTTTAAGACCAGGGCAATTTACAAAAAATCCTATATTGTCACCATTTATGCAATCAACGTTTCACTAGTGGTGAAATTCATCAAGTATGCTCCTTTAACTGGCGCATCCAAGGCAAAGTCATCCGCTGTTGTCAAACTGCTGTCACTGTAGAGCTCACACAACTTGGCAACGTCATTGATGTTGCAAACCGGGCGCAGTTACAGCGTCGTAAAACCTGCGTGGATGGAAAGCCTGGTCGTCACCGATCCGGGAAGAAAGGGAACATTGATGCCAAACTAGATATAATGTGATTCAAATGATGCAATGGATGTCATTTTGGGAACTTAACGGGATAAAACAGTGCGGCAATTGTGTGTATGCAATTTTCAATCTACAATCTGCCAATCTGGAAAGTGCAACGCGTCACTTGCTAAAACCGGTTGGGGGCGGGTGCTTGAGGCTTAGTCGATAAATCTGACCTAACTTTGCCCCAAATCTCGACTTCCTTGGGATTTCGACGTCTGATTTGCGCCCCTAATGTCAGAATCAACCTATCAACGCGGCAAATATGGGTTCCAAAATAGCTTTGATGTTCAGACACTTGCTGCATCTCATTGGCCCAGTATTCCCTTTTTTGCTCATATGCATGGAGGGCTCAGAAGCGCCTTGAGGGGCTCAAGCGTGGATGTAGAAACAGGGGGGGGAGGGGGGACAATGCCCCCCTCCACTTTCAACTTGGGGGCAGCGGTGTCAACTTTTTCAGATTAAGGTTGTGTTTAGCTTTCTTTTGCACCACATTTAACATACATGCCGAGTTGCCTAGTTCACCAGCCATCTTCCTCAAGATGCGTCATCTTTTTTGTTTGCTTATTGGCTATCGCTTAGTGTCACAATCATGGGACGACGCCGCGCGACCTACGGAGACCGCAACGTCGGGCGTCGAGGCTGTTGTTGCTGTGACTGGCAAGCGCGCATGTTCTGAACCATATTGTATAATTTTTATCGGCAATCAATTCTGAACGAATCTCGAACATTTTAGGACGAACATGATTTAGCCATGTTAATACAAGTTTAGGAACCGACTTCATTTACAACCTACGTTTAGGGAGTCCTCAATATCTCTGAAGAACACAGAAAACATGGGACTGTAGTCTATGTGACAATTATTTGAACACCTGTGGGGATCAGGAATCTTGCTGTGTCAATGAGGACTCCTATGCTGATCCAGGGCTAACTGCGCGGGCCAGAAGACCTTCTGTGTCAGAGAGGGGAACAATATGATATGATATATCCTTCTAATGACCTCCGGATCAACCAACAGATCCCGCCTCTTGTCGCCAAAATGACAGCCAGAAGACACTTCACGATTGGACGGAATGGCCCTTCGGCCCTTGACCGGAACCGGTAAGGTGCCCCTGGTGTTGTACTCGATGGGCCCCTCGCCCGCAAGGAAATAAGGGGTCCCATTATTGCTGAGTAGAGTGGGGTTTTCATTATTGTTGGAAAGGATGGGTCGGACTGAATTTCAAAACGAACAAGGTTACCCCATGTTTGCCTGAGAACGTTCATTTTTTCAGAATGGATTTGTGAAAAAATGACATTAAAAAATTTGGACGTGGCCGCCCGCAAACTCGACAGCAAGGACAGCGGTGCCCTGGGTCGCAGGTTCCACAAATCCGAATGGCGTCAGCCACTGCAAGCGCCACCAGACGGCGGGAGCCGTGTTAATCTGTCTTCTGGACAGATTAATAGTTATAGAAACACAAAAAATAGAGATTTTACCTTACTCTTCCAGTTCCCCCACCAGATTTCCAGCACCACTTCGCGGTGCTTTAAGGGCTAATCCGCTCTCTTCATTGGTCTAAAAATTGCACACGTGAAATATGCGTTCAGACTGTTTTCTAAATGTAAAATTTGATGTCCTGAAGCATTCAAAGGTACGTCTTTCAGAAGCGCCATCATTTTTGACCTCCCATGGACCACGGCTCAGCAGTGGCTACTAGGCCGACGCCGCGTGGCCTACGGAGACTGCAACGCCTGGCATCAAGGTTTTTCAAGGTGGGCGCACATCTTAAAAAATCAGGTTTCATAAATTGTACCACTAATCGATTCTGACCGAGTGTTGAACATTTCCAGACAAACATGGCCTGGCCATGTTAACACATTATTGACCACTCGATCCAAAACCGAATTCTCATCATCAAATTCCGATCAAGCATATCGATCTACAGTCAACCTTTGCGATGTCCTTAATGTCTTTAGAACCCAAATTAAACAGTCTGACAAAGCTTCTGAACTTTATCGGTTGATAAACAGGCCACTAAACTCATTAAACCCTGCAGCCAATTAAGGGCACCTGTGATTTATTCCATCGGTAGTTCAACACCTGATTTCTGCAGCGTATTGACTTTACAATGCAAACAGAATTGATCTCACGGTAGCTTCTGGTTTCTGTTCTGGTTTCAAGGCAAAAATGGTAATGAAACCAAGGAAACCGTATCCCAGGTTGACAAGTAAACCATATCCGGGGATTTTTGGAGTTACCATACGATGGATATTTGACGTCCCTGTGCTCCCCTTAGCAAGGCCCTCGCTACGCCCCTGCCTACACACAAAAGCAGATAAAGTCGTCTTCGTTAAATTACGTGCAATTACATGTTCGTTAGACCAGTTCATACCTAAGGCAGGCAGCTTCCCGAAGACTTTTTTCTGTGGTGGTTTCGGTTTAAGGGAAGATAATTCGGAAAAAGGATGCTGTTGCACGTATCCAACATGTTTTACACACCAATAAGTAGCAATGCTGATCCAGAAATATGCATCAGAGCAGCCACACGATCAGTTCGCGGTCAGTCATGCGGGAGACAGCCGGGCCTGGGCAGTGGCCGCCGACGGCGGACGAGAGCAGGGCTCAGATATATATCGTATAAGACTATATGGTATAACTATATATAGTATAACACTATATATATATATATATATGTATATATGAGATAAAAACAACAACAATCTCAACCTTGTTAAACTTTTTTCGCTACAGTTTCTCGTTTCCTTGCGCAAGTCCTTTGTTCTGACTTAGCAAATAAATAAGGCTTACGTACAAAAATAACAATTGTTACGTAATTCAGAGCTAAAATTACATGAAAATAGATAACTCGCCTTAGGTTCAGCTATTTCCTCCACTTTACGTGTGGACAACCTTTTCAGAATACACAACAACTGGTTACATAACACTAAAAAGCATACGCTCAGATGACTATAATATCGTGTGGTCGAGTTTGTTTGAGCTATGGGCTGTGCTCTATGCACCCAGTCGAAGTTCGTACTAAAATGACATTTTTGCCACGGTTTATATAGATACGGTTGCGCCATCAACGCCAGCTGCTGGATCCCGATTAATGTGCACACAGCTCAGGCCTGGTAAATATCTCACCATGCCTCGTGCATTTCTGTTACCACGCCTTTCTCAGTATATCAAATATTGGTAAAATGCTCCTGAAAGTGAACAAGCCAATGACAGTATAAAAAGTCACCCTCATGACATTGTCATCTCACAGTTGCCCGTGCCATCACGTATGGAGCAGACAAGATTGTATCGCTGCTCCCCTCACATGCGTTTCAGGTCTCGTCATTATTTAGTTGCCTCGCTTATCAGCCCGTTGCCCGTTGCTAATCAGAGCACTTTGGCCTTAACAGCACGTTATGCTGAAGGCCCCAGCGGAAGAACAGCTTCAAAACTGCCTATCAAGCTCATATCCAGACAGCAAGATGAATGAGGATAAATCAGCGAGAAACAGCGGTAGATTTGTTAACGATAATGTATGCTAACCTTGCTAGCGCCACCGCAGTCCTCTGAGATGACCTCGAAGAGCGTGGCTGTTCTCAGCTTTGCTCCTAGCAACAGTGTTTGCGTCGGCCATCTTATCAGGCAACAGTGGCGTTACTTGCGGGCAATAATTTAACGCATTCGACTGGTAATTCATGCATCATTCATATCATATGTGTGCAGTATGAGCCGTCGGGGGCATCACGTGTCCTTTGCACATGACGAGTGCATGCGACATAATATGTTGGGTTCAGGTATGTTGAAAGGCCTTAGATGGTTGGAATGACAAGTTTAATACGCAATGCACAGATGCATAATGGAAACGCAGATGGTGCGTTGACGACACGTGCTAATATGCAAAACACTGACTTACTGGCTCAGCAAGTCATTGCTGCATGTGTTGCCATCCAGCTTTTAAGTACCGTCATTTTGGTAGCCTCTTGTAAGGTCAAAAAGAGCTAGAAATTTTGCATATTTATGCAAACAACAACTTGAAGCTTGGAAAAAAGCCTTACGTCAAGCCTAAATCCATCTTAAGACATATTTTTGTACTGACTTGGCATAATCTAAATGAGTGCTTTAAATCCTGTCCAATCGAAATGACATGTCACTCCGGACCACAAAATGTCATATTCACTCTCAGTTGCAGCTGGAAATGTCCTTTCGGAGCGTAACGCAGCTCAGCTCACGCACTAAGAGAGCTGACGGAGACAAAGTGGTCATTTAGCCTATCAGCCCACCGGTAACTGCTCTCCATTAGCGAAGCCATCCCCTCTCCATAATTTGGTGATGCAAGGAGTTGCCTAATATCTTTCCACGTAGGACAGGAAAGGAGGCGCTTGCCCGGCACTGAGTGGCTTTCACTGCGCTTCGTTTGGTCTTTACTTGGTTCTCTTCACTTGATCCTCTTCCAGTCCATTCGCAACTAGGTGACAGCCGAAGGCGTCTCCGTCGGTCAGGCGGAGTGCAGTCAGCAAACTCGCGTCCGCAGTGCTGTTCATCTGAACAGAACAGTTCATCTGAACTTCCTGCAATCGTCAGTAGTCGCATTTAGTCAAGCGTTTCCACAGCGATCGCAAAGG